TGCGTACTAGTTAACGATTTGGGATGCATGCGAACTCTCCTTCGTCGCTTATATTAATCACCTTGCCGGACCATGGTTCGCTTTTCTTAGTGCGTCCGGGTTTAAGTTCAATTGCACGCTCCCTCCTATCCGTTGGAGCAATCCTCTGTGGCTTTTTGGATCACCACAACCTCCCCCTTTCCTTAGGGTAAGGGGGGGGACTTCGACCCATCTGCTCTTCCCTGCAGACCCAGGCCCTACGGATTTCGTGCACCCGAGCGCACAGATCACCTCGGCAAGCCATCCTGTCGGCCACCGAAGTTCACTTTCTAGGCTGAAGGCTTTATGTCTCACTCAAGGGGGCTTGTTCAAGGCCATTCCAATACATCCGGTGCATTCTTTCCCCCGCGCCTCACGTTCGCCTTAGTACGCAAGGAGTTTTTTCACTGTCTCCTTTTTTGCTCTTGTCCCACCAACCGGCTCATTTCCTTTGGCATCGCCAATGAGTTGAGGTGCTCTACTTATGTACATATACTACTTATTATAAGTGAGTAGCTGTATATGTTTTATAGTTACCACTAACTGACGGCCGCTCGCTTTTCTCCTGCGATTATGTAAACGACCACTATTTGAGTTTTCTACTGTATCGGTGCATTTTTTCGTCACTATTACAAATAGGGAACTCAAAGGCTTTTGCTTATCTTTCCCTGAATTGAACCAAGAAGGAGTCTGAATTTCTGTTGCTGCTTAGAAATCTATGCTCAGTCCGTTTTTCCGCCGATTTTTCCTGAACAATGTAAGAGATCTATTATTTTCTTAGTCTTTCAGTCAGTATCTCGGGCTTATGTTGATAACTATCGGGCAGGCATAAGACTGTCTCTAAAAATTTATAGAAAAGACAGCTGTCGACGAAATTCTTGATCTATATCTGGTTACTCAGCTTCTGAGCTCTATCCAACATGACCTTTTGTGTAAAAGATTTTGCGAAACTCGCTACTTAGCCTTTCCTTACCGCGTCCAGGCTGTTATTATCTGCTTCGATCTGGGGGAAACCTTCGAGGAGGTGCCGCACCGACTGCTGTTAGACAACCAACGCCTCAGTCGATAATGAGTGGTAGGCAGGGCGTTTTCATGAGTTTTCTTGAAATGTTTTAGTTTAGGCGGGCCTCAACAACCGCTCAGATTGTTTGTTCGAGGTTGTCTCCTCTATTGATTTATCTCACTAACCTAACTAAAAGACAACAGTGGTATTAGACGTTCAAACTGGGTGTAGGTATCAAGGGGGTAGGTTTGGGTGGGTGAAGGTGTGGGCCTACTAGGTCACATGCGCATTCACGGCAGTGGCATTGACCGCAAGGTCGACACACCCAACACACCCTCACCAGCTCCAGCCCCACCCACCCACCCACTCACTGCCTCGCCACC